TATTTTATGTCTTTGATCAGTCAGGTGATCAGTATGTTGATCGATCACCACCTCTTCTTGTCCATTTTGACACTTCCTTGGTCCACACTCTATTTTTTCTTTATGTCAAACCTTCATATGCGCCTCTTAACCCCAAAGGTCACATGAAACCATGCTAAATACGCTAAAGATGGAAGTGACTAATTTAAAACTGTAAGACCTGCACTATAAGAAAATATGCAATCCATACGGTGTAATCTGTCAGAAAATGTTATGTCCAGTAGATTTCCGACGAAACCTAAACGTTTGTATAGCGTTGGAAAAAATAATTCTTTGGAATCCATTGTCCTTTATTGACATATGGGCTGTTCATTTGGCAGTCGCATGACGGTCACTTCTCAACAAACTTCCTCAGATGACCCTTACCGGAAATATTTATGCTGGAAAGATTTTTCTAACGGATTACTGACCAAACCTAGTGAGATATCATGGATTTTACGGTCTTTAACCATGATATAGGTATTGGTTTTAGAGTGCTTATTTTATTTCTAGAGTCTTTTTAGAGTCTTTTCAGGTATTTTCGTGATCGGGATACAATGGGAGATAAGTGAGAATTTTGGAGCAAACCCGGGAATAAAAGCTAAAGAGACGAATTTGGAGTCAGACAATGGCATCAGTGTCGATCGACACCCCCTAGTGTCGGTCGACACCGCTCGTGGCCCTACAAGAAGCTTGACGGTTTAAAGTTTTGAAGATTGCAAAATTGCCCCAAAAGATTTTCCTATTTACATTATTAATCTTTGCATGTTTTTGAGAACATGTAAATAGATTTTAGGGTCATTGTTTAGACCTATCAAGCTTTTATCTTGCTTTTTACTTTGTATTTCTCTGAAAGCTTGAACCCTTTGGAAGATAATTATAGGTAGTTTTGTTTCAAAGATTTTAAAACCCTGTAGAGAGAAGATCTTTCAAAACTCTATTCTCTTCTTATTTTATTTTATGATTTCTACTTCAATCATGTTTTGTTTTTCCATGATCATGTCTGAGTAGTTCTCTTGTTTGGCTTAGGAATTCTCATTAGGGATTTAGATGAATTAGTAGATTGATAACTTGTTAGGATAATATTTATAGAGTTTTTCATCTTTGATTGTTCTTAATGCTAGTTCTAGGTAGCGAACTAGAACTTGATCTTAGGATAATATGTTAGACAGGAGAGTGCGCTTGTTACTGGAACTATCTTAGGTGAGCATAAGTAGCTAGATTATGACGAGAGTTGGTCTAGATACTTTTGTGAACATATCAAATCTGATTTTAATGCTTGTCTAGTTTTAGGAGTTTACAGATGAGAGTTAGAACTTCTTTCTATTAGGCATAGTTTTTTTTTTTTTGTGGTGTGCACTATTAGGCATAGTTAGTCAATACAAACGAGAGTTGATTGATTATAGCTTAGTGCTTTGAGTTCTAGAACGGTTCATTGATAATCCTAATTAACTGGTAGATCTACTATTTACCTATTTCCTGAGAAATTTCCTAAGTTTGACGCTTTAATCCATATGAATTTATATCAATTAATTTGCTTTTCTGTCTTTTAATTTTCTCATATTTATTTAGCTTAATTTTGAAACTATTAGCTTATTATGTGCACAAAATAACTTTGTGGAATTCGACCTTTAAGTACGACACATGATCTCCTAATTTGAGGGAATTACGTGAGGTCTAATTTGACTCACATCACATTGGCTTCAATTCGTAACAAGCATAATTGTAGAATGACGTTCTCTAATGTGATTATGCAAGTAATTTATGAATTAAAAAATCTGCTTAATATTTAACAAACACTTCCCCTTCCCTGGTTAGGTACCTCTTATTCCTTTATCTTTACTTATTACTAGGACGCAGGATCCCCGCGATGTTGCGGGGAGAAAGGTTTAAAATCTTTAAAGAAAAAAATATCAGACGAAAAATCATAATGAATTAAAATAACTTTGCAAAGAAAATTTTAACAATAAATCAAGAAATATTTTATGAAAAATTATGATATATAGACATAACCCTGAGAAGCATTTATTAAGATTAATATTATTGTTAGAAAATATTATGACGAAAAGATGCGATCATAAGTAAAAACTACATTTTAACCCGCGGTACACCGCGGGATGATTTAATTTTAAAGTTAGTATAAAATATTTTGTAAATTGTATCTTGTTATAACATATTTATTTATATTATAGTTTACAATTGTTATTAAGTAACGGTATACCACGAGTCCACGAGACAATTATTAATAAATTGAGGATTTAACCCGTATTAAAGCGGTATATAAATATTGATTCAAATTCGTCCGCCATATAAATCCTTTCTGAAATATAACTCGTTCCGTAATTTCTTAATCCGTCCCGTGATTTGTTTTTATTTTAAAATTTAATAATTATTTATTATATATAAAAGTTTACAAATCATATCATTCTCTAAGACATTTATATTTTAATAAACTTAAGATTTATTATGTATTAAAGCGGCATGTTAATGATATTTTAAAATTTTATAAATATTTTTATTAAGTAACATTATACCACGGGACAATTTTTGGTTTTATACAATTTTTTCTAAATGAGACTGATTTAATATGTCTAATATTGGTGGTATTAAAAAAAATAAGGATTTAATCCGTATTGAAGCGGCAGATTAATGATATTTTAATCTTTTTATTATTGTTGATTCAAAAACCCGTCACGCCAAACCCGTCCGGCCAAAAAACTCATTTATTTTATTAATGTTGATCTTATTTATGATATGATTCTGAATCATTGTCTAAATATTTTAATCGATGTAGAACGTTGAACACACATTTTCGTCAATTGGATAATATATGTCCGTTTTTAAAATTTCGAATCACAGTATATGCAGAAAAAATGATTTTTTTTTTTACTTTATGTATTATATGATGATTCAAAACAGTTAAAAATAAATCAAACAAATATGATAGGAGAATCATAATTCTAAATCTTAATCAAATCTTCTAAATATCTAAATTATTAAATATGAAATATCCGGTGTATGAGTTGGGTTAAATATAACCCGACCCAACAAATTTTTTGTGAAGGAATTTAAGAAAACAGGTCGGATATCCGATTAAACCAGAAGTATTTTTACCCACCCGTCACCAAAGTGTTGCAAAAATACTAGTATAGATTATTCAATAAAAAGTTATAATGAGTATACGCAATTTTTTATTTTCTAAAACAATTAGAAATATATTTATATAAATATATTCAACAAAACATTATGATAAAAGACGCAACATTTTAAATTGTGTTATGCTAAAAAAAGACAGTCTTTGGAAAACATTAACAAATAACTAAAATTGATAGTTATATAGGAAAAAAATAATGATATAGATAACAAATTATATACATGAATTCTAGATAGCGAAAAAATAAAACTTTATATGAGAAATATCAAGCAAAAAATAATAATAAATATAGAGTTGAAAAGACATGAAAGTTTAAATAGACAAAAATGTTTGTAAAAGATACAATTATTTCAGTGAAGACTTTGTGATGAAAAAACACGAAAAAAACATGGTGAAAAGATACAACTCTAAATGAAGAAATAAAAGTTCAATTAATGCTCACAAAAATCTTTTTATAGAGGGAAAATGTTCCAACGGTTCATCAAATATACCAAAAATTGTAATAGTTCACTTAATAAACTAAAAGTTGCAACATGTCATCAAATATACTAAATGTTACATTGTTTCTTCAAATAAACCAAATATTACAATAGTTCGTCAAATAAGCCAAAATGTTCATTGGTTCGTCAAATAAACTAAATGTTACTTTGTTCAATTAGACGGTAACAATAATTTATTTAAATATATTTTAGTAATTAATTTTTTAAAAAAAAATTATGAAGAATTGTAACCGAGAGACGCGACCGTAGATATCAAATATACAAAAAATTGCAACGTTTTGTCAAATATACCAAATGTTGCAACAGTTTGTCAAATAAACTAAAGATAACAACAGTTCATAAAACAAAACCAAAAGTTACAATGATTTGTCAAATAAACCATATGTTGCAGCGGTATTAAACGGTTACAATTTTATTTAAATATATTTTAGTAGTTCAAAATTGAAAACAATAATTTATGAGAAGTTACATCGAGAGACGCGACGGTAGATAATTAAATATTAGAATGATTTATAAACTAAATCAAAAGTTGCAATTTTTTGTGAAATAAACTAAATGTTGCAATGATTCAACTAAACGGTTGCAACCGTTTATGAATAGTTATGATAAAATGACGCAACCGTAGAAGACTTTATTCGGATTGCAACCTTTTATAAAAACAACACCATTAAATATACTCCCTCTGTTTTATTATATTAGATATTTTAGAGATTTTATTTTGTTTTATATTATAAGATGTTTTGCTAAATGTATTTGACAACTTGTGACTATTTATATTTTTTAGTCTTTATGATTGGTTGAATTTTTCTTAAACTAAATATAAATTATGCTTTTAAAAGAAAAATAAATGATCTAAATATGTGTGCATTTACCTTAAACCTCTTATACTACGAAACAAAAAGATTATGTTTTAGTTTAAATTAAAAAACAACGTAAAGTAGCGATAAAAAGACACAACTGTTCATAACTACAAAAAACATTTATTCGGATTGTTATTATTATATAGATTATTATTCTCTGTTTTTGCAATTTCAACACAATATTCTTATAATTAATATATATATATATATATGATCGATATTTTCATTTTTCTCAGCTTCAGATATGAGATAAAAATATGATAATTACAAAATTCAAAAGGATGGAAAATGTGTACCCTCATTACTTGATTAGGTAACAAATAATTGAATATAGTTCAATGGTTGAGTCACTAATAATGTGGTTGAAATTCAACCGTTGAATCACTCTCGAAATAAAATCCACTCGCCATTCTTGCTATTCTCCATTCCTTCCTCTTTATTTATAAAAGGAGCTATGAGCTCATTCTCATTACAATTCCATTAACTCTCATCTCTAGGTGACGTAAAGAAAACAAAAAACGAGAGCAAGAATGGTCGAGGAGGAGGTTGAGGTAGATGTGGAGATCAACACTACGGCTGATAAGTTCTTCTTGTTCGCCAGAAGATCACAAAACGTGGTCACAGCCACTCGCTACATTCAGGGATGTGATCTGCTCGAAGGCGAATGGGACAAAGTTGGAAGCATAATTCTTTGGAAATTAGTTTTTGGTAATAGAAACATTATATATATATTTATTTATTTATAATTCTACAAGAAAAACCCTTCCACTATGATATATTAGACATGATTTTTATTCTCTTTTTGGTATGATACCATACATAAGATTTGTGAACCTGTTTTGGTGCAGATGGAGAGCCAAGAGTGTCGAAGGATAGGATCGAGACGGTGGATATGGAGAAGAATGTGATTCAGTGGAGGGTATTAGAGGGACCTTTAAAGAAAGAATACAAGAGCTTCTTGAAAACGGTGAAGGTGAGCCCTAAGCAAGGAGGATCTGGAAGTGTGGTGAAGTGGAACATGAAGTATGAGAGGATTGATGAGAAGGTAGCTCACCCAAAGAGGCTTCTCCAGTTCTTTGTTGAAGTGATTAAAGAGGTTGACCGATATCTCTTGTCTGAGGAATAGGGGTTATTTATGCTTGGCTTGTGTAGTTGTGTGTGTGAGAGTTATATATTGTATGCGTGAGAACTCCTCTTGTGTTTTGTATGTCTTTCTCAATTATTGTGATCTCTCTAAATTTAGAAGAGATGTCTGCAAGTGTGCTGGTTTAGTGGAGCTTGTATTACGTACGCTTGAAGTCGCATGTTTTAACATTTTGAGTAGCTATGAGCTTCTCGTATTTTTATATTTTTCTATGTTAATTATCGAACTGGCCAAGATGAAATACAAAAATGACTAAACATATATAGAAGCCTATGAACGAGACAATGGCGCAAGGGTGATATTACATTCATCCTTGAACCCTAAGAAAAGAAGTGATATTTTAACCTTTGGTGCAATGGCGCGAATAAGAAAGAAATGAGAAGTTCAGATTCATTTACCTCACATGATTTTGTAAACTAATATGTTTTTTTAGTCAACGAATATATATGAGAGTGAATTTTTAGTATTACCATAAATTAGATTTTTTTTTGTTTAAATGTGAAACTAATTGAAAGAATAAGGTAATTTACAAGTGTCCAAAGTGAAAAAAATAAAATAAAAGAGAGCAGAGCAGAAAATGAAACAGAGCAAAGTAGAAATTAAACAGAGTTTCATTGGGTTTAAGTACGTAGACGATTATAAGATTATCGCTGAAGGAGATCCACTGAACTTGATGTCAGCCGAGTAGTAAGTATATATATAGTCTCTGACCGCTTTGTCGATAATACGAACCAAATCACCAAGTGTCAATAGCTCAATTGATAAAGACTCTCAGGAAAAGCCTAGAGGTCGCCGGTTCGAGTGGCATTTGAGAGGGGACCATATAAAATGCTCTAGTTCTTGAATTGAGGAGATGTACGGGCCTAGGTCCAGAACCTCTTAGTCATTCAAAAGAAAAAAAGATACGAACCAGATCCCGGAAAAGGTGGTGGTTGTTTCTTTTCCAAACATGATAAATTGAAGCTTGAACACCATTTAGAGGAGGATCTTTGAGCGGACACGAGTTTACCGATAGCTCAATCCTCCAGTGGTTTGTCACCAATCATGTATCTCCTTAGTGCCTTTTTGAGATTCCATGTGAAGACAATCCTTGGGTGAAAATTCGTTTTAACATCACTAATCTCTTTTACTTCCGGGTTTCCATTTCTTGGTAATGCGAGATAAGGCTAATTGTAGTCATTCGGTAAGTAATAAAATTTATAAAACTCTCTAACAAGTCTTATAAGGGCACAATTGTGTTAGTTTTATAATTAAAATGTTAAGCCTACATAAAAGAGAATGACTCAAAGGAAATACAAAGTAGACTTGCTAGAATGCAAATCTAAAACCTTCCTACATACTTCTCATCATTTTGATTGATTGATTCATATGTGGTGTGATTCTCTGTTCATTTAATTATCCTATGTCTATGATCTCCGGTGCAAAGAATTTGATTTCTCTCTCAGTCAATTTAGCCAACATTTGAAACGCAGTCAGAGCAGTTCGTTAACCCTATTTCAATTTTATTATAGGTGACTGATCCTAGTTCAGGAACAATTTGTTTATGAGGCTTCCATAATTCCTTAAATTTAAGTGTATATGTATAATAGAAAGCTGCCCACGCGATGCGTGGGTTACATATTTAATATTAATTCTGAATAAAAATAAAATTTGTATTAAAGTAATATGTTCGATTATTAATATAGTTTTTTGAAAAGAATTTTTTAAAATATTAACTTTTATGTTCCTTTTCGAAGTACTTTTGTGAATTGCTAAAAAATAAATTTTGTTCTTTTTTTATTCATGGTGGTATGACATAAATATACGCCACTACTTTTTCTTAATTTACATAAAATATTTTATTCTGGAAATATATATATCATACATCATACATCATCATAGAGTTTCTTGTTTGCTGATTAACGATCCTTGGATCGGGAAAACGGCCAAAATCAACTCCAACTATTTTTCTGCAGCTTTTTTCAACCCAAACTCTGACCCCAGCACTTATCAACCCGAACTCAGACCATTTTTAAAAAACAAACCTAAACTATCTAACTGTTATCCAATTTCAACATAGTTTTTTTTTGTATTTGTTAATGTCGATTAGAATTGTAAAGTCGTAATTATCTGTTCTTTTATATTTGAATCATTCATTTTATTCAATTGGCTAAAGGTTAAATAATTCAGGTTTGTTACATTATTTAATAACAGGTATATGTTAAAATTGGCTAACGATTACATAGTTCAGGTTTGTTATTTAAAATTTATGTGGGTTCGAGTTGATAATTGGGGTTGATATCGGCCTTGGATCTCATCAGAAGGTAGATCTTCCCAATCTCATGACTTTCCCTCGAAAATAAGCTTTACATATTATATCCATATAATCCATAATAAAATTAGGAGATCAAAGGTAAAACATATTCATATTTATTAATTTTTTTGCTTAATTATATCTATATATGTTAAAAATTAAAGAGAAATTTAAATAATTTGTGATAATGATTAAATTTAATAAAATAGCAAGGTGGTCCAAATGAGCAAAAACATATTTTATATATGTTAATCTGGGTTTTTCACATCTCTTTCTCGCTTCTGACTTAGCACAGCTAGTCAAAGCTTTAAAATCGGAGCTTCATGGGATTCTCTTCGATATCCTGAATTTATCTTATACCTTTGATGTTATTTTGTTTAGTTTCATTCCCCGTTTGCAGAATTCTGATGCGGATTCATTGGCAAAACAGTCTCTTGTTTCTCTTGTAATAGACCTGGCCCAAACCTAAGTTAAATTGAATCAGCCTTTTTTTTTTGTCATCCGAAATTACTTAGAGCTCAAAAGAGTCATTCCTGAGGAATATTGTTTACATATGTGACATGAAGCGGTTCGGTACGAATTTTTCGTGCCAGATTATCTGCTTTTACATTTGCTCGACGAGAAATTAAAGATAAAGAAAAGTTTGTAAACTCCACTTTGTCGCTCTGAAATTCCTCCATATACACTGAGAAGGCCGGCCATTCAGTTGGCGAAGACACCATCTTCACCATGTCAGAACAGTCTGTAAAGAAAGTTACGTCTTGGTTGTCTGCACCGATCATACACTTCATCGCCCAGAGAAGGGCTTCGACCTCTGTATGTAGGGGGGATAGACTTCTACGAAGGTTGGCAGCTCCCATGGTTGGCGGATCTCCATTTGATGATGTACTAAACCATCATGTGCCGGAGAACTTATCACTCTCTTTCCACGATCCATCCACAAAACACCGGTAACCTGAGTAATTCGAATCAAGTGAGATATCCCTCCCTTGCGATCGATTTACCACATCCACAGAACCCAGTTGTTCATTATGAAGCACGATTTGGGCAGAGTGCCACAATTGTGCCTCTTTTTCCGCTAAACGTAAAACCTCTAAAGGATCTTTGTCTATATTATCAAAGATTTTTTTATTCCTTGCTTTCCAAATATACCAAATGATCCATGGAAAAGCTGAAGAATCAAATTCCGAAGGTATTCTCCAAAATAAATGATCCAAATTCGCATAAACAGAATCTGTGGGAAGAGCACCCATAACCGTTGGAATCTGTGAAAGTGCCCAAGTCTGTCTTGTTGGGTGACATTGAAAGAGTGTATGATTGATTGTTTCCTCTGAGGCGCCGCACCTTGCGCATCCTTTTTCACAATCAATTCCTCTTTTCCTCAAAATTTCCGTGACCGGCACACAACCCGCTAGAATTTGCCACAGAAAATGACGAACCTTAGGTGGGCACTGCACCTGCCACGACTATGCTTTTAGGGCTTTGGTTTCCGGGCCAATAAAAGGTAAATGATTCAGCCTTTGCACAAAAAAAAATATATGTTACACTTAATTATAATCATATTTAATTTAGGAAAATGATTTCAGATGATGTAATAAAAATTTTATTTTTAAAAGTTTATATTAAAAAAATTTAGTTCAGTTTAAAACTAACAATGCCAGGGAACAGAACTTAAAACTTCACTGACATGCGTAAATAGAACAAAACTACTTTAATAAATAGTGAAGTAAAAATGTGTATATATGTAGGTCATAAAAGAACAAAACTTTAATAAATATAATGTAATGCCGTTTACCTAAATACTTTAATGACATGTTAGATTTTAACTGAATAAGTTAATTATGATATTCTATGCAATTACCCTTATCAAACATAATTCTTTTCAAAAATCCCATGAGCATAGATAAAAGAAAAAAACTTTGGTGGAACTTTTTAAATTTTTTGGTTGAATTTCATTGGGTTGGTTTTATGGACTTTGATAAAAATAAATACAAATTTTATATTCTTTCATATGATCTTTATTTCTTACTTAATTTGTATGATTAACTAAAACAAATTGAATTCAAAACATAATCATGTCAAATGTTATACAATATTAAAAATCAGAAAACTATTTACTCGAGATATACGAAACTCAAACGTCGATCCCTCTCAAACGTTGAGTAATTATGTAAAAGAAATAAAGAATGGCATAAACTATTTAATTTTTGGGATTATTGTTGATTTTGCCATTTTCATATAAATCTTTTGAAATTGCCATTTTTACTAAAATCTTACGGATATGCCATTTTCTAACACTTAAAAATGTACGTATTTTGGATTTTTTTTTTGTAAAAATACGTAGTTTATACAAAATACTAAACCCTAAGAACAACCACAACCGACTAAACCCAAACATAACTAATAAAACGCATGTTAAATCATATTTCCGTAACCTGAAAAAGGGCAAAATCCATAAACTATTAAAAAAGGGCAAAATCCACAAATGCCATCCAAAAAAATGGCAAATCCATAATTGATTCTTGATTTTTTTTTTTGACTCATGGTCCCATTAGTTTTACGTATTCAAGAACAAAATCATCTTGAAACAACTTTACGTATTAAAAAAAAAAAAACGAAAACAAACTCTTAACTTTTTGATAAGTGATGTTGAGAATAATTACATAAATGGTTTTTCAATTTATATCATAAATTTTTTAACAAACTTATGGTTTTCAAATTTATGAATACATATAGATCATAAGAGTAAAAAAATTTAATAAATATAATGTACTGCCATTTATCTAAATACTTAAATTTATAATTACACTTTAACTGACCATAATAATAGATATAAATTTTCTCAATGTATGTATATAAATCTTATTGGTGAGTTGAAAAATAGAGAAAAAATCAAAAATAGAACTTAAAAATAGAACACTTTTATGTAGAACTAATGGTGTTGGTGAAGCTAACTTGAACACCATATGAAATCACAAACCTAATTAACTTGAACACCAAATGAGAAAACTTTTCTAGATATTTTTATTATGTGGATGATAGCCTGAAATAAAGAGAAAGCAACTAAAAGTCAATAAAAATAAAAGAACGGACTGGAAAAAGCAAAAACTCTACAAGAGTTTTTTTAGCTTCACATGTGGATAATATATACAAGAATTAATTGGATTTAATGTTTTTAATTAATTGGAGTTATTGTGGTTATCAGTTAGCCTAATGCATCAATTTAGAGTTGTTTGACGTTACATATGTTTTAATAAGTTCATTTGTGGGTTTTACTTTGGGTAACTAATTACAGAACAAAAAAAACACTAATATATTTTGGTATTAGAAGCCACATGAAAAGCGTTACTGGAGAAGAAAACTCTTCACAAACATTTATTTTGAGAAAAGACGTAACACATGGAGCAATACATTTATATTATGTAATATTATGGAGATATGAAAATATTATGTAAGATAGAAAAATGAGGAAAACAATTAAATTTAAAAATAGATGCCAAATGTACTAATATTATGAGAAGTTTTAAAAATGTACTAATATTTTGTGAAGTTAAAATTTAACTGATCCATAATTTTGAATCAAATGAATAAGTGGTGATTAAGTAGATAATAATTTTGGCAAAACAAATTAGACACAAATTTCAATTTAAATACATGTCAAATGTATCAATAGGATAAGAGAAATATCTTTTTGGAATTAAATTGTAGGTACAAAATTTCAAAACTAAGGATTTTAAATAAATTAAAACAAACATTAATGAAATGAAAGAGGACACATGTCACCAAAAGAGAGTGCCAAATGTCACAATGGTAGGAAAGTTAGAAGAAAACCTTCTCATATTATATAAAAATTTATATTATGGAGATATGAAAATATTATGTAAGATAGAAAAATGAGGAAAACAATTAAATTTAAAAATAGATGCCAAATGTACTAATATTATGAGAAGTTTTAAAAATGCACTAATATTTTGTGTGAATGTATTGTGTAATAAAAATTGTACATAAATACTCCAACTTGGAGTTGTAAAATGTGAGAATAAAGTGGTGTTAATATTTAGAGTATTAATTTACACTCTAAAATTAATTAGATTTAATGTTTTGAATTAATTGGAGTTATTGTGGTTATGTGTTAGCCTAATGCATCAATTTAGAGTTATTTGACGTTACATATGTTTTAGTAAGTTCATTTGTGGGTTTTACTATGGGTAACTAATTCCAGAACAAAAAAAAAACACTAATATATTTCGGTATTAGAAGCCACATGAAAAGCGTTACTGGAGAAGAAATGAATAAGTGGTGATTTTAAGTAGATAATAATTTTGGTAAAATAAATTAGATACAATTTCAATTTAAATACATGTCAAATGTACCAATAGGATAAGAGAAATATATATTTTGGAATTAAATTGTAGGCACAAACTTTCAAAACTAAAGATTTTAAATAAATTAAAACAAACATTGATGCATTGAAGGAGGACACATGTCACCAAAAGAGAGTGCCAAATGTCGCAATGGTAAGAAAAGTTAGAAGAAAACCCTCTCATATTATATAAGATACTACACTTAGCATTGAGCTTAATTAATGAAATAGCAAAAACAAAAATCAAAGATAAATATATCACAATAAATGTTCACTATCAATAAATTAATTCAAACACATTGAATAAACAAAAAACATCATGGTTCAACAAAAGATAAGGTAAATAAAAAGCAAAAAAAAAAAAAACCGCCGAGTAGGATCTCTTCTTCAATTTCGGAGTTTTCGAACCAAACATTTGATGGTCTCTTGCCTTAACACAACTCTTTGTAGTTTAATTTACTTTCGACTCTTTTTTTTTTTTTTTTTTTGATTAGCATCTGACTTTATGTAGTTGTATACTTGTATCTAACTTAGCTTACTTCTCTTATATAAAACTTAGCTTACTTCTCTTATATAAAACAGGACTGTAAGATATACAAGAAAAATTCAATAAATACCAAATCATTGTTATATTCTTTCATAAAATTACAAAAGACAATATGTTTTGGTTTTGTGTGTTTCTAAATAATCACAATAAATGGAAACCTTTTTTCTATTATGTTATATGTTTGACCTCTCGTTTTCAACTTAATTAACCATCAGACTAAGTATAAAAATAAACCTTTCTGTGAAAGAGTCAAGTTGCTTAACCAACACGTTAGTTAAAGAGGGTGAGGTAAAGTGAGGTTGTACTTAAAACCTACGACCTCTTCAAAGTCAAAACTTCAGATGAACAAAGCCGAACCAATCATTAAGACTAAACAAAATGAAATCTTCAAACTTGATTATACAATTAATAATACTCTCTGTCACGATCAAACGTGGTAAGCACTTCACCGAAATAAATATTTTTTATAGCATGAAACATGGACTTCTCCCCTACCTTGTAACATAGAGTTCAAGAGATGATCCACATTTGTAACACAGCCAAAAACAAAAGCCTCTTCACATGATGACAATCGGAAAGAGTCCGATCTTGGGACGTCATCATGTTGTCTTCCTATTGTTGCTTGTTCTCCAAGTCACCGGCCAGCAGCAGCCTAGAACCATTGGTCCACCGTATAGTGCCCCAAGACCGAATCAAGTACCCGCGGTAATCATTGGGATGCTTATGTTCACGCTTTTATTCAGCTTGTTGGCTTGCTGCGTTTGCTTTAAATACACAAGCACATCTCCTCATGGAACCAGCTCTGATACCGAAGAAGGAGGTCTTGGAGAAGTAGCGTTTACGAGGAGAACAAGCCGTGGACTTGGGAAGGATGTGATAAAGTCTTTTCCTTCCTTTCTTTACTCACAAGTTAAAGGGCTAAAGATAGGCAAAGGCGGCGTGGAATGTGCGATATGCCTGAACGAGTTTGAGGACGAAGAAACATTGCGTTTGATGCCTCCTTGTAGCCATGCATTTCATGCTAGTTGCATAGATGTTTGGCTCTCTTCTCGCTCCACATGTCCTGTTTGCCGTGCTAGTCTCCTTCACAAACCAGGCAGTGATCAAATCTCTTTGTATCCATTTATACGCCCACATGATAATCAAGATATGGATGATCTTGAAACTGGAAACGCGCGAAGAAGTGTATTGGAATCTCCAGATCAACATTTGTTAGATAGATTGACATGGAGCAATAACACCGGGGCTAACAGACCGCCTCGATCGAGGTCTACAGGGTTATCAAACTGGAGAATAACGGAGATTTTGTTCCCAAGATCCCATTCGACCGGACATTCTCTAGTACCACGTGGAGAGAATCTTGACAGATTCACATTGCAGTTACCGGAAGAGGTACGGAGGCAATTGAGCCACACGACGACGTTACCAAAAGCTAGGAGTTCAAGGCAAGGTTATAGGAGTGGTAGCGTTGGGAGCGAGAGATCAAGAGGTTTTCCTTATGGACGCCGATATAATCGACGGAACATTTCTCTTTCTTTCTCTTTCTCTTTTCAAACGGCCTCTCTTCAACCAGCAAAAGGCAAGGAAAAAGAGTTTGGTGAAGGGTCATTTGATCGCCTTAAGCCAGAGATGGTCTAGTCTTAATTTGTTGACTATATTAAGTTTTCTTATTGACAAGGTTAGATTAAAGAAAACGTCTGGTGTGTCTTAACCATGAAACTGTTAAGTTCTCCATTATAAACTCTCATCACCTTCAATATGGTAGCAGAGCCACAATGATCTAACGATCGGCTCCGTTCCTGAATCTAAGCCAAGAGCTTCTTCTTTTTATTTTTGTGTTTAAGCAAAGTGCTTCCAACATTCAAGTTCATCATGAACCTCTGAATCTAAGTAAAAAATGCTTATGTTATTCAAGTCTAACCATAGACCTCTGAATCAAGCCTAAGTGCTTCTTTTAATTTTCTGCAATTTAAAAAAAAAAAAAAAAAAAAATCTGGTTATTCTCGCTTTTTTTTTTTAAGCCATTGATGAGCTTCTCTTTATTCAAGTCTAACCATAGACCTCTGAATCTAAGCCAAAAGTGCTTCTTGTTCGTTTTATTTTATTTTATTTGTTTCCAAGCCAAAAGGTTTCAATTCTTTTTTTTTTTTTTTTTTTTGATGTTTATGGATCTTCTATTATTACAAAAAAAAAAAAAAAAAAGAGAAAACAAAAAAAAAATATATATATATTTTTTTGCAAAGTCACGAATCTTTACTCTGCCTGCCAATACAGTGGCCCAAGTCCAGCTTCACGTTGTCCACCCAATATTTCGAGATCTACTTTAGTCACCACCGAGGTGGCCTATAGCTCCGACGAGTCTCGAAATCTCTCTCCTTACGCCATTGTCATTTCAACACCGTTACTTCTTCGATTCTAAATATCAATCTCAAGACGTTCATTCCGACATTTCTCCATTACCACCTTGAGATTGAGGGGGCGTATAGAAGGATCTAGAAGATCCACAAGTTAATATGAAGATATTGTAATATTTATTATATTGATATGTAAAGATTTAGGTCTATCTTAATTTAGGAAACCATTTTACTATATAAACATATGTAACCCAAAGCTTATGATTATGAGAGTAAATATACAATTCTCCATTATAAACTCTCATCACCTTCAATAGAAACAATCTATGTGTAGGTTTGTCTACTAAGTGTGTGGAGAAAAACTAGAGCACAAGAGAGCCTATCCGATACAGTCGACAATATTGTACAGTTTCATATATGAATCGATTGTGAACTTTGGTATTAATTTGATGCATAACATCTTAGTTACGAATGAAATTATCCCTTCTTGAAAGCAAATCTTCTTACATGTAATATCAACCTAAATAGCATGCTGATGTTATGTGATTTTAGAAAGTTAAAGTTCAGACTAAGATCGATAACCCATATGATAGAGAAATTATAAAGTAGTTCATCAATCATATATTTTAGTAGATTCTCATTTTGCATTGATCTATTTATTCTATCTTCTACAATTCTTTTATCTCAGTGAGTTTAAAATGCCTCACTTATAATATTCGGGTACCCATTCAGATTTGGTTTAGGATTTTCAGGTTTAGGCTCATGGAACCCATTCAAGCATTTATAATATTCGGGTTGGGTTTGGTTTGGTTCCTATCGGGTTCGGTTCGGATCGGGTTTTACCTTTCGGGTTCGGGAAGCGTTCGGTTTCTTTCATGTTCGGATCCGAACCGAAACAATTGGAAAAAAACTACCCAGAATTACTCAAAAATATCCGAATAAACCAAAAACCCTTATAAAAACAACTCAAACTACTCAAAAGTATCTGAAAATACACGAAAATATATGAATTACCCTCAAAATTCCGTAAAAAAAATAAACTCGAACTCACCGTAAATATTCATAAGTATATGAATTTCTCAAAACTTCGGATTGTTTGGGGTACTAGTTCATGTTTGAGTAATATTCGAACCCGAATTACTAAAACCCTAGCCCCCCCCTCCCCATTCAGAAGTTTTTTAGTAACAGGTTCAGATCAGGATCTGGTTCGAGTTTTTGCCCAGCCCCATCTCTCACCGAGCTCCAAAAAAAAGACAAATATTTAATTAAATGATTATTAAATAATTTTAGAAATATATGTAGTAGATTTTTTGTATGTAATTCACTAATTTTGACTATTATAAGACAAATTTTGTGGTAAAATTTTTGTTATATATTTCACATTTTCCGTTCATTTGACCAAATTACACTCGTATACTAAACCGGTAATGTAGTCTTATTGGTATATTTCCAGTTTCAATTAAACCGGATACACTTCCAATTTCAATTTAACCGGATACACTTCCAATTTCAATTTAACCGGATCTATCTTCTTCTTCTTCACCATGCTATCTTACGGCTGAGCTTGGCGGAGGAGAAACCTTAATCCGATTACATCGATTCACATTTTCCCGATGACTTCCACTCTAATCTCCTCAAATCTCTCTTCCTCTTTCTTCTCTACTAAAAATCTCCACCGGATTCGAATCCCAGCGACTTCAATTCCCGGAGTTTGCAACATTCGCGCACGCCGTTCAAAAATCGTCGCCAAATCACTCAATCTTCCACTTCTTCCCTTCAGCATGAGCGAGGTTATCACCATGAATCACACCTTAACCTTCCTTAGCTGATTTTGATTTGAAAATTCTTACACAGGTTCTTGTACCAACGGAGAGTAAAACTTTGCATTTGTATGAAGCAAGGTACTTAGCTTTACTTGAAGAGGTATGGATTCGATACTTTTGTAAGCATTTTGCTCTGTGAGATTGATTACATGTTGGTGGTGAAGATGTTGGTGTTTTGGTTCAGTCTATGAAGAGGAAGAAGAATATGTTTGTTCATTTCATTCTGGATCCTATTTCGATTAGTGAGACTGCAACAGAAGCTTCTTTTGCTGCTAGATATGGATGTTTGGTACTTATTGAAAACGTAAGCCTCGTTTTTCGATCTTTTGTGTGTTGTTTGTTGACTGAGTCAGGAATTGTCTCTGAGTTCTGAAGCTTACAACATGTTGTAGGTTGAGAGATTGGATGTTGGCGCGCTTGTTTCGATAAGAGGTGCTGGTCGTGTGAAGATTTCGCGGTTTTTAGGGGTAAGATTGTGGGTATATAGTATGTGTTTGTAATCTTTGGTTATACACAAACTTTAGGTAACGATTAGAATGTGATACTTTAGCTTGTCGAATTGAACTAGACTAGTAGCTAAGCTGTTCCTTTTCTTTGGCCAAAACTCAGTACAAAGTTTGGGTTTCTTGGCTTAGGGGTAAGATTACAAATAGAAAGTATGAGTTTGTAATCTTTGGTTAAATACAAGCTTAAGGTAACAACTAAAATATGATATTTTGGCTTGTCGACTAGAACTAGATTGCGAGCTACTCTGTTCCTTTTCTTTGGCCAATGCTCAGTACAAACTTTTTGGTTCTTAGTTTAGGAGTAAGATTAAGGATATAAAGTATGACGTTGATATCTTTGGTTAAACACAGACTTGAGGTAACATCAGAATGTGATACTTTAGCTTGTGGACTAGAACTAGACCATGAGCTACTATGTTCCTTCTCTTTGGCTAAAAATACTGTTGATTAAGCGAAAATGTTATTCCACCTTAGCTTAAGCTCTGCAAATCAGTTTATCTATCTGATGAAAACAACCTGATGTTTCTTTTATTTCTTATGGAATCTGAGTTACTTGAGCTAATTTTCCGTGCATTCGCGTTTTGTGATTGTTTAGGCTCTTATTCATAATCGTTTTTACTTTCCATTTGGTGAGTTTAGTTAAGTTGTTTTCTTCATATAGAATATCCAAAGTTGATGTTCTGACAATATGAATTATTGTCTCAGGCAGATCCTTATTTGTCCGGAGAGGTCAGACCAATTCAAGATCGTGTGAATTATGAGAGCAGCAATGAATTAACCTCAAAAATCTCCCAGCTGAAGGAATCTATTAAGAATCTTAACAGCTTGGAAATCAAACTTAAGGTAAAAAAGTATAACGAAAAAAATCTCTCCTTCGTTGTGTGGTTGTATTAAGAATCTATTAAGAATCTTAACAGCTTGGAAACAACTGCATGTGTTGTATCATCTGTCTCCTTGGATTGTTCATAGCAATTAAATATGGAAAGTTCTATCTATGTTTTATGTACATCATTTACAGTTATGTTCTCAGAAGTTTTGAGTGTGGATTATCTCCTTTTGCAATAGGCTCCAGCAGACTCGCCGCTACAAACGCGTCTCATTAACTCTCTAAACTGGGCTGAAGATGAGCCGCTGGTTGAATTTGACGAATCATTCATACCTTCCCTCCAAGAACGTCTAAGCTTTTCATCATTTCAACCCATTTCTGGTAATTTCACATATTTTCTCCCTCGTGTTTTCATGTTTCATGAAGATTTTCATGTTTGAACTATCAAATTTTACATCACAATAAAGTTCAAATCCGTTTGATTACTCTGGAAATGTGCTGAATACTGTGGGTCTGAGAGTTAATAGCAAAAAAATCCTCAAGTTTTTCGGGTTTTCTTGGCTGCAGGATCGACGAAGTCGGAACTATCAAGGTTACAACAAGAGAAATTAAAAGCAATGGATATGAAAGATACAATAGAGAGGTTAGAACTCTCAATGGGACTCATAAAGGAGAACATTTCCTCAATTGCAGCCAAACTCGCCATCCAATCCTTGGACATTCGCTAATCGTTAGACTATACAATAAGTCTCTCCTTGTAAATGCGTGTTATTTGCAAAATTACTGAATATAAATTACAGCCAAGAAAGTGTATATGTTGTTTCATAAAATGTAAAAAGCCAAATGAAATACCAAAATGCAACAAGAGTCAATACATAAATGAAAACCATTGAATCTAAGAAACTCTGATTCATATGTGTAAAGAAGCAATAAGACGAGAGCAAATACGCACCCTTGCTTGGTTCAAAAGAGGCCTAAACATCTCAGCAATTCTAATCGGAGCGTTTATTATTTTGGGTGGTACTGGTGACTTCCTTGCCCACAAATGAAGAATGTTAGACTTTATCGCATCTCTCGCAAATCCATTCGCCTCTGAAACATCTTTGGAAGACCTCAACTTCTCTTCTAGCTTCTTCAGCTCTTTGTTGAAGTGTTCAAAATCAGACTGTGGCATTAAGCCACCATTATTGAGAACCAAAATAATGCGCTCCAAATTCCTGACTCCATAAGCAAAATGCTCGGTAGACGATTTGATCAGCTCCAATCGAGTTGATTTGCCATCAGCCTGATAGACTCCATTCTTGGGTTTGATATATGTTTCAAACACATATAGCATAACATACATCAGACCTTTTACCACTTGGGTGGGATTCTTCTTATCTTTGTTCCCTGTACACTCATATACTATTTGATAACAGAAGCCTAACATAGAATGTATGTCATCAGATAATAGGAACATTGCTTCAACCACAAAGAGTGAGAGCTCAACTCCGAGTCGCAAAGACTCATCTTTCTGCTTCTCAATGGTTAACTTAATCTTAGCAGTGTAAGGAGAATATCTAGCCTGTGGTAATTTCTTCTTGTTACGAACAACACGGTGAGTCATTGACATTGATTCCATCTTTTTCGAGATGGTCGAGATGGTTGAAGGATTCATCGAGGAAGAATGCTCCATATGCAATCTAGCTATGAATCAAAACAATTCAGAGTAGAAATATATATCAGATATTCAGATGCAAATTATAAAAAAAAAATCCAAAGCGTTTATCAATTGAGAGAAGAACCTTACTTGAAACATAAAAACCCTAAATCGTAACTTTAACCTAGAAAGAGTTAAACGACACTCACCTCTGAAAAGTGAAAACCTTGTCAATATTCTTTGACAAATAATAATATATATACTAGATTTATGACTCGCTAGCGATCACGTTGTAATTTATATAAACCAAACTTTATATAAAAAGACAAAGTAAAGCAAATATATATATATATTTTTTCCGGTAATGAAAAGGAAGTAATTCATGTACGGTTTATCTTCCAAAACAACTACTTACATACATACGTTGATATGAAAAAAGTGACCGCGGTCTATAGTAGGATTCATAAGTCTACAAGAACCGGCACCACTTCATCCAGAATCAAGTCTCCTACTAGGGAGTTATTTGGACTGATAAACCTCCGTTTTTGTTTATTGGATGATTTTTTTTTTTTTGAATGAATGTAAAATTTATTCAACCAAAAAAGTCCTTTGTACAATAAATCCAACCTTGAATCAAATGTTGTTTTGAAAGAAATCAACGGAACAAACTGAGAAAACTAGATCCTGGATTTGAACCATAGACGAAGTCCATCTTCGAGCTTGCGGGGGTTCAAGAAACGGATGGAAGATATGTTGTTGTGAATCAAGCGATCAAGAAATTTGATTAGTTGATCTGCAGCAGTTATCGGTTCACCATGCCTACGTTTGTTTCGTTCCAACCAAATGGTATGAACCGTTGCTTGGAACAGAATCCGTAGAATGAAACCAAGAGTGCCTTTGATTGAGGAATCAGATAACAGAGACAGGATCTCCAAGAAACAGTTTGTGTAGCGTCTTTGAAGGAATCTACTCGCCAAATCCTCCCAGACCTGAGAAGAGTAGGCACAAGAAAAGAAAATATGGTCCCGTGTCTCGATCGTTGCTTGACAAAAAACACATATTGGATGATTCTTTTAACACGATGGTTATATGCCTTCACAAACTCTCTCGTTCAATATGGTTTCATATATTAGAAGATTCAGGTTTTGGGTACTGGCTTACAGGAAAGTTTCCCATGCCAAACTAGATTCAAAAACCATCAGTAGATTCAAACCCTTTTTCCATTAGATTCAAACTTATAAGTTAAAACCCAATTAATGTTTTGTTATAATAAAGTTTTATTATCTTGCATGTCAAGAAATATGATAAGAAACTCGAAAATTCGGTGAAAAAATGTGCTTTCATTCTAGTTCATAACAGGAAAGACAAAATTTACAGAATGTATAAAAGACTTCAATATATACTCTGTGAGGCTTTTAAGTGAAGAATGTTAAACTTTATAGCGTCCCTCTGAGAGTGCAGGAGCCAACAAAAAAAAAATGTTTGTTATGCATTTTCTGTCATTTTTTTATCTGGGGAATCATTTCTTAATGCATTTTTCCAATTTTATCTTCCTAAGACACTTAAATTTATTGAAGTTTTATTCGGTACGGACTGGCCGTTGGAAAGAATTGAGCTTTACATGAAGATTGGTATTCAGGAAAGAAGATAATGGCATATGCTGGAGCCGAAATGTTACCAAGTATTTCGGAGGCTGGACATGTTCTTTTTACAAAGTTTACCTTTTCAAGATTTTTCCTTAGTGGGTTTTGTTTGTCCTATTTAATGATGTTTTCGATATTGATTTTACCGGCGTTAAGGAAGGATATTTCTTCCTTAAGGATATACAAAAATTGCACAAGAGGACTCATAATCTTGAGTTATGGAGACAAATCTCAATATTGTTTTTCTGAGTTCATCAGGAGGGGTCATGGGCTTTGGTCAAAAATCAGAAGAAGAAAATGTTGACTCTATTTGGAGTGGTAGTGGTCACACGGTTTGAAGTCAGAAAATGAAAAAGAAAGAATTGTTGTGTTCAAAGGGAGTGTTCACTCGCCTAGAACACAGAAAATAGGAAAGACGTTTTATTAAAGGTATTTTGGGTATTTCTGGCCCATGCTTGTTTTGCCTTTAATACTTGTTAATGTTAAGGATAAGCAATAAAGGATTTGTTCTTTTACATCAAAAGCTTATCAATTTATCACTTGGATGTTGCTTAAAAGAGAGATTTCCTCAAGGGAAGAATGTTAGACTTTATCTCTTCAATCACAAACCCATTTCGCATCTGAAACATCCTTGGCAGGCCTCAACTTCTCGTCCAGTTTCTTCAGTTCTTGATTGTAGTATTCGAAAACTAAGGGTTTCATCAAAAGAGCTTTCACTTATTTTGAGAATCAAAACAATGTGATCCAAACATTTAGTCCCAAAAGCAAAATGCTGTGAAGATGTTGTGAATAATGCCCATTTGATCACTAGCGTTATACACTCCAATCATCTGTCTATACTCAAAACTAGAACCGCTACCTCAGCTTGGTTGCATGTCCCCTCTGTTTGTAAGCTTTGGGAATCTGATTTTAAATGGTTACCAACCTTTCTTGAGAGCTGAAGTCCCTTATCTTGGTGATGATCTGCTAAACCCTATGATTTTTTTCAACTTAATGAAGATTCCATTGTGTTTTAATGCTCTGTTTTTAAAATCTTAGGTATGCTATATTAAGTATAAGGAAATAAATGAAATCATAATGTCATATCACATATGTTCCTGAGTGTTTGACACCGTCTCTCGAGTTTGTTGATTTCAAAGTCCAAGTACAAGGATATTCTACCTAAATGAAGTTGGAAAGGTACTTCCTAGAGAATTCGACAATCCTCAAAAAGCTCACTCCACGTTTGCGTTATCCTTCAACAAAAAATGATATCATGAAGGTACAGTAGGTACTCCTTAGAATCCCAAGACGCTCTACCAAATGTGAACTCGTCGTCCTTTGATTGGCAAAGAGTATAGAGAACATGGTGAGGTTTTGTAATTTTGGATAATAGACAAAGTGAGTCTCTGGCTTTGTGTTCCGTAATTTTAATTGGACTCTCAATGAGAACAATTCCTCGATTGCAGCCATACTCACCGTCCAATACTTGGATATTCCCTACTCCCTAGACAATATAATGAGTCTAGACTATGTAATGAGCCTCTCATTGTAAATGTTTGTTACATCCAAGAAAGTGCATATTCTATAACAGTCCAAAAGTAATTAGAATTAAATGGTAAATTCTTGTTTCTCTTAAGAAAACAATTGTTTCTCGGAGAGAATGGTGTACATGTATGTAAGACACATAAAATTGACAGAATGTAAAAGAGTCTGATATACACCTTTAACCATACTCAATGATGCTTATTCTTAAGTACTTGATAATATACAACCTTCTTCTAATCATAGTTTTTGTCTTACACTTATTTAGAAAATAAAATCTACCAATCTAAGAAACTCTGATTCATATTTTTAAAGAAGTAAGAAGACGAGAGCAAGCATCACGACTTGCTTCGTTCAAAAGAGGCCTAAAAAGCTCAATAACTATACTCTTAGTAGGGTTTATCATTTCCGGTGTTGTTTCAAAGAGAGACTTCCACAAGGGAAAAATGTTAGACTCTATAGCTTCTCTCGAAAACCCATTCGCCTTTGAAACAACCTTGACAGATCTCAAACTCTCCTCTAGCTTCTTAAGCTCTTGGTTGTAGTATTTAAAACCAGACGGTTTCACTAGGCTACCGATTTCGAGAATGGAAACAATCCGAGCCAAAACTCTTACTCCAAAACCAAAATGATAGGAAGACGTTTTGAACTGTTCCCATTGAATCGATTTGCCACCATCTTGATAGACTCCATTCTTTGGTTTAATATATGTTACAAACACATATTGAATAACATAAAACACTCTTCCTACCACGGGACCGTCAAATTTTCTCTTCCCTGCATACTTGAACAGCCAAAAACAGAAGACTAACATAGAACGTATGTCATCCGACAATAAGAACATTGCTTCAGCAACAAAGAGCGATAGATCAACTCCGAGTTGTATAGCCTCTTCTTTCTGCTCCTCCTTCTCCTTCTCCTTAGTCCTGCACACACATTGACATTATAACTTTATAATTTTAGTAAGAAAAAAAAGGTCTTAAAGTAAATAATGAAGATCACTGACCTTATAGTGTAAGGAGAATATCTACACTGTGGTAATCTCTTGTTGTGGCGAAAAACTTGAAGACGATCACTCATCAACATTGATTCCATATGTTTTGAGATATCATAAGAACTCACTGAGGAAGGATCCATAGGCAATTTTTGTTGGCTATCCAATGCATAAAGAAACAAACTCAGAGTCAACAAAATCAGATAATTAAGTTATAGAAATTTCCCAACGCATATAGTTCTATGAATTATCGGGCAACAGATAGAAGAACCATAGATCGTAACTTTAACCTTCAATTTGAATCGATATCAAAGCCAAATTCCTAGAAAGAAAAAAAAAATCATGAAAAAGAAGGAAACATCCACTCACCTCATCTTTGTAGACCTAATGATATCGGTAAAATCTTTTGCAATTCTATGCTTTTTTCTTATATCGGGACGACAAATATAACAAAAACCGGAGTTTTTTCCTATTTGACGAAAGATATATAGCATAGAGGAAACGAAAGACTTGTGTGTATATTAATTTTATAATTTAAAGTTTTTTATATATTTTAATATAATTTTATGTATCTGATTATATAATGATATTTTAAAAAGATGGACTAGCAAACTATGCGTTTTCTTACTGCTTGGTCTCCATTAATTTATGTTTGTCCGGAAGTTGTATGTCCGGTGTTGTTAGAGGATATGAGTGGGACTGCGTTTCCATGGAATGTCCGAGTGTAGTTTTTTTTTTTGTTATGAATAAATTGTAGGGGAGCTTATCCCCTACCCACTAAAAAAAAAAATATATGTTAAGAAGAAACCAAGAAATTCTAGAATCGCTGAAGAAAATAACGATCATTATTAATGAAGAAATCTTCCTATAACTCTTTTCTAGTTTTCTATTAGCTTTAGAAAACTTTCAAAGCTTGGCGCAATTAATTGTAAAAAATAGTTTTTTGATTGAATAAAATTTTACATTCAATTCATAAACAAAAAAATGTTAAAGATATATGTGATCATAGAATTAGAAACTGAGGACACATTGGTATAAAATGGATAGATTTATTGGTTGAGAATGGTTTCAACTGATTATCAGTTTCCTAAAGATTGTATTGGTAGACATTTCCTGCAAGCCTTATGACAAGAGAATTGGTAAATGGAGAAAAACAAAATCTACAATTGTTGGTTTACTCCAAAGCTTTTTAGAAAAAGTTTGTTTTTTCTTTTTGTTTCTGGTGCAAGTTGTTCAGAAACTTTTTTTTTTTTTTTTTTTTTTTGAAGAAAATGTAAAATTTATTCGAAAAAAACGTTTGTACATCAAGTGCAGCGTATGTTTAAACATGATTTAGAGATACAATTGCCTAAAAAAAGTAAGATTTGTTAAGGTTTTATGGTTATCTTGATGCGAACCAAGTCACCATACAACCTTCAAAGTTTTTATCCCCATGCTCTCGAATCGACGAAATTCTATTCCGAACTTGCTTATCCAATCGCTTGACTAGTTGGCCCGCAGGAATTTGAATTTCCCCATGTCTTCTATTGTTCCTTTCCACCCATATAGCATGTAATGAAATTTGGAAGCAATACCTTACAAGAAATAATCGATCATGTCCCAGGGAGTTTTCCGTGAGAAGATTAATAATGTTGTGCCATCTTGCTGTGAATCGCATGGAGAGAAGCTTGGAGACGAGAGCAGTCCAGACTTCCCTTGAATAGCGACACACGAAAAAAAGATGATTACGGGTTTCCAACTAATGTTGGCAGAGAACACAAGAGGAGTTTGTTCCCACATTCCAATGCATCATTCTATCCCCTGTTGTTAAACGGTTTAGTGTTGCAAGCCAAGCGATGAATGAGCACTTAGGTGTGGCGTGTGAGAACCATATACCTTTGTACCATTCGATCTTTGGCTTCACAACCCGAATAGCCTCCCAGGTTTCCTTTATGCTGAATTTTTCCTGAAACTGATCTCATGTTCCTTTCCACAACACTTGATCCTCTGTTTCCGACAGCCCTTGATTGCAAATGCCCTCCATTATTATTTCCAGCTGGTTTAAATAGACAGTCATGTGTCTTCGTCTTCTGTGGGTTGTAATAGCTTCAACCACTGTTGATTTTATTCCGATTCCCATGTCAATGCAGCCTCGCTGGCCTATAGTCTTCATTAAACACCCTAATGCAGACCAATTATCATACCAAAACGAAGTGCTCTGTCCATTCTGCACCTCATACTTGACAAAATCTGATGCTATACCTCGATATTTCAGAAGCTTTCGCCACATCCAAGATCCCAACGTTGTGCTTTCTCGTACTGACCAGAAAGATCCTTTTCGAAGTAAGTAAAGTCGCAGCCACTGTACCCATAGAGAGTTCGTTGACAACAGTCTCCAAATGAGTTTGAGACAGCTAACCTTGTTTGTTTACGTTAATGATCTCAGTCCTAGTACTCCTCCCTCTTCCTTAGGAGTACACACATCAAGCCACGCAACTTTTGCCTTCTTTTTGTTTAAGTTTGGTCCCGACCAAAGAAAAGCAGAACATAAACTGTTTATCTCTTTGATACATGAACTCGGTAGTCGGAAAGCAGACATCCAGAAATTCGTGAGGCTGTGAATTACCGAAGCAATGAGTTGGAGACGACCTGCAAAAGAGAGCTGCCTAGCTATCCAGCTTGTAATTCGTTCTCGAATTCGTTCTAGAAGGGGATTGTAGTCATTTAGCGTCATCCTCTTGGTTAGGAGAGGTAAGCCAAGATAACGGACAGGTAGAGAACCAGATTCAAACGGGAAAGAGTGTAGAATTTCTTCCTTATCTACGTCTCTTACCCCTGCCATATACAACGTCGATTTATCAAGACTTATTTTTAGACCCGAGAACTCCGCAAACTTGTCGAAGATCGTAAGAATGCCCTCTACCGAACTTTTTTTTTTTCATCTGTGAACACCAACAAATCATCTGCAAAACACAAGTGTTTGAGTTGTAGCTTTTGACACCTCGGGTGGTAGCCTATTTTTCCTTTCAATGCAGCCTTATCTATCATTTTTGACAGCACATGCATACAAATGACAAATAAATACGGAGAAAATGAGCAGCCTTGTCGAAGTCCCCTTTCACTTCGAAATAAACCGGACAATTCACCATTCACTTGAACCGAAAAAGAAGCCGTTGTGACACATAGTTCAATCCATTTAATAAACTGCTGTGGAAGATTTAACGTCGAGAGTATGGCCATGAGGAAAGGCCACTGAACAGAATCGAAAGCCTTCGAAATGTCAATCTTCATTGCACACCTAGAAGATACTGTTTCTTTGTGATAATCTTTGACTACCTCAGAAGCCAATAAAACATTTTCCATCAGTAATCGATCCTTGACAAATGCTGACTGGTTCGGTGAAATAAAAGCTGGGAGGAGAAGCTTAAGTCTATTAGCAATAAGCTTCGAGATTACCTTGTATGTCACGTTACAACAAGAAATGGGTCGATAGTCCTTCATCTCCTTTACTTCTTTTTTCTTTGGTATAAGCGCTAAAATGGTTGTGTTCACTCCTTTAGGGATGAAACCATATAGAAAGAAAGATTGAATTGCTACCACAAAATCTTTCTTTACTATCGGTCATGTTTCCTTTAGAAACTCCACTGTAAAACCGTCCGGCCCCGGGCTTTTGTCTTTTGGCATAGCAAACAGAGTCTCTTTTATTTCTTCTTCAGACACTTCTCTAACCAGTTTCAGTTTCTCTGCTTCAAAACAACGGTAAGATACTAGATCACTTAAATCCTCCTCTGACATACCTTGATAGTGGCCTGGCTTATGGGTTAGAAGATCACAGAAAAATCTTTCTGCTTCCTTCTTGATTTCTTCTTGAGTATCTACGATGGTACCATCAGAACATTTGATTTCTTTTATTGCATTTCTCACTTCTCGAATTTTTGCTGCTTTGTAAAACGCCTTGTTATTCCCATCTCCCACCTTTAGCCAATGTAGCTTCGACTTTTGCTTCAAGTATCTTTCTTCTAAACCCGAGAGATGTACCCATTTATGATATGCTTCTGATTCATTCCTCATCGCCATATTGGATTTGTGAGAGTCTCCAATTGCAATTTACATAACTTCTCGTAAGCTTCTTTTGTCTTTACAATTAGGTCTCCAAGCTTTTCCTTACTCATTCTTTTTATTTCTGGCTTTAAATCTTTTAATTTCTTCGAGAATCTGTACATCGCTGAAATAGAGTGGTAGAGGCTTGCCATATTATCCCAGTACTCCTTGATCATTTGCAAAAACTGCTTGTTTGAAGCCAAAGCATTTGTAAACTTGAAAGGTTTACGAATTCTAGTTTTTTCCGCTCCAATTTTGATTCTACAACGAAGGTGATCAGAACATCCCCTGCCTCAAAAACTCCATATGATTGTGAATACTCTGCTATCCAAGAATCATTGACGAGTACCCGGTCAAGCTTCTTACATATAAGCTCTTCATCATCCCGTTTATTACACCAAGTAAATAAAGGCCCATGGTACTGCATATCACTTAAAGAACAGTATCTCACCGCTTCCTGAAAATCTCTCATCCCCATTGGCACTGAAGGGTTCGTGTCATAGCAAGAGTGCTCCTCTCCCTTTAATATTTCGTTGAAATCTCCATAGACCATCCATGGTTTATTTCTAAACATAGGTGAATCCTTATGATTTTTCAAGTCCTCCCACAACATCTTTCGGTCTTCTACAAAATTTGAGGCATACACAAAAGATACAAAAAAACTCATTTTCCTGACCTTCCAATAAGACTGAGCAAGTGATCATCTGATTACTTGTAAAACACGGCGTTAGTCGAACACTTGGACTCCATACCACCCGGATCCGTCCTAGGCGGTGAGAAGCATAAATCGATAATAATGACCAATCCGGAAACACTGCTCCTACTATTCTTTCTGCTTTTCTTTCCTTAACTCTTGTCTCAATTATACAACCAAACTGAAAACCTTCTTTCAATACCCAACTTCGAACCACGGAATGCTTAGAATTTTTGTTGAAACCGCGAACATTCCAAAAGAAGCTCGACATAAAATTATTGTTGGAGAAGCCTAGTACTCTGTTCCCTTCCTGGTTGAGTAGTAGGGTTTGATGCAGCCTTTTGCGAGGTTTTTGAGCCGCGAGGCAGAAACTGACGTGGTGGAATGTCAGGCTTAGTTCCTCGAGACTTTACCTTATTTTCCTTGTTTTCTTTGGAGCTCTCTTTCTTTTTTTTTGAATCTAATGTTAAATTATATTCAAAGAAAAAATATCGTTTGTACAACTAGTGCAACGTTTGTCTGATGTTTAAAATATGTAAAAACTGAAACTCAAAGAAACTCAAAGCCTTGATTCAAACCATCTTTGTAGCCCTTTGTCATATCTTCGATCTCCCAAAAGTTTAATAGCCGAAAGAGTGTTCCGAGTGTGCTTGTCGATCCAAGCAACTAGTTGACCTGCCGAGTTATGAGGTTCTCCATGCCTTCTACCATTCCGCTCTCGCCAAATTGTGTAAACGGATGCTTGAAGGATGTAACGTGCCAAAAAACTCTCGATTCGGTTGTGTTGCATATTGGAGATATAGGAAATGAGGGAGTGCCAGTCCGTTGAGTACCTTGTTTTGAAAATGTTCTTAGCCAAAGCAGCCCAAATCTCTGACCCATAGCCGCATTGAAAGAAGAGATGGTCTCGGGTTTCTAAGTCGTTATTGCAGAGCACACATCCCACTTGAGAACCCGTGTTCCATTTGTCGATTCTATCCCCTGTTGCAAGCCTGTTAAGGACTGCGAGCCAAACACAGAAAGAGTATTTGGGAGTTGCATGGGGGAACCAAACTCCCTTGTGCCATGTAACTTCGTTTGATGTGGTTCTGATTCTGTTCCATGTATCTTTAGTTGAGAAACAGTCTTTGAATGTGTCGTTCTTGCCTCGCCAGAGTACTACATCATTGTCCTCTGTCCGTCGTTCTCTTGCTACCTGAAGAGCCTCTTCAATTTGGTTTAGAGGTTCTGTCCGATGCCTTCTTCTTCGGCGGGTAGACCAAGCCTCGGCGACAGTGAGGCTTCTATTTATTCCCAAATCAATTACTCCTCTATCTCCTGTCACCTCCATTAGTCTCCCTAACTCCGACCAGTTGGAGCTCTCTTTCTTTCCCTCCAAATTCACCAAAATCCTATTATTGCCCTCCTGTTCTATTTTTCCACTTCTTTCTTCCTCTTTTCCCTCCTCATCAGCTTCTCCCTTTCCACTAAGAACGGAGTAAGAATTGGATAGAATAGAAACTTCCCCATATTTCAAACCTTCCGCCTTCTTTCCCGGACTACGGCCTGGTTTATGAGGCGTTATCCATTGGTCATTTTCTGTTGTCGTCTCTTGTTCCTCTGCATTCTCTTTTGCAGTCACTACAACATTCTCTAGCCCTCTAGCGTCTGACACTAAAATACAGTCCCCTTCAGTAGCAGCTTTTTCTATTTCAGCGTCTTTTGATTCTTTCGGATTTGAAATTTCTTGCGAAGTAGTTTTTTCACTTTCCGCAGCGAGACAATCAGCCTTTACATGTCCCCATTTTTTGCAGCTACTACAGCGTGGTGGTAACCATGGATACGAGTATTTGATAACCACATCTAACTCCCCCTCTTCTTCTCCCGTTTGATAGTACTCTGCTGGTAAGTCCTTTGTGAGATCCGCCTCAACTAAAATCTGAGCTTCTTCGAAACTGACACAAGCTTCAGTTTTTGGATGTAGCCTTATCGGTTTTCCTACTGCACTTGCTAAAAATTCCAGCCCCTTATCCGTAAACATTGTAGGTGGTACATTTTTTAACACTACCCAAAGTGGTATAGTCTTCATTGCTGGTTGTAGGCATGACCAAAAGCTAACCATAACCGTATTTCGGACCGTAACCGGACCGTTTTTCAACCGTAACCAAACCGTAACCGTATAAAACGGTTAATAACCGTAACCGTTAACCGTAAAAATAGATTAGTTACGGTTAAAAAATATACTAACCGTAACCGTTAATTAACCGTAAACGTATCAAAACCGTTAGTTAACCGTACGGTTAACCGCACGGTTAACCGCATAATTAACCGTTCAGTGAAAACCTAAAATACATAATTATTTCACTAAAACAGTGCTTTAAATGGTTCAATGTGCCCACTGCTAACTTTAAACAACTCCACTCGTACACTACTCATTTCCACAAATCAAATCATAAATAATTTATAAGTTATTATTTCTACTCCTGTAATCGTTTCTTAATTCTCACAACATCCTTTCTATAGAATTGTTTGGAATAGGTATTGTCAATAAAACAATAACTCAATCATTATAATTATTACCATTGATTTAGTTATTCATTGGTTTACTTAACAAAACAAAATAGCTAATTAACTATAAATATTAAAGTACACAATCACATATATTATATATTATAAAATAAATATTATTTGATATCTCATCATTAAAATTTTTATTCCAAAAGTTAAAAATACCTAAGTTTTTGTCTTTGATATTAACCGTATCGTAATAATTAAATATTTGTAACCGTATTTAACCGTAACCGTTGCAACCGTAACCGTTGCAACCGTAACCGTTTTAACCGTATGTATAACGGTTAAGGTTACGGTTAGAGAAATTTTATAACCGTAACCGGAGGTTAATAAACCGTAACCGTAATAACCGTAACCGTGGACATGCCTAGCTGGTTGTGCCTCCTCAGCAAAAGGAGTCCATTTTGACATAAGCATGGGAATACCCGCAATATTCCACGTACCTCTGTTCAAAATCCGTTGTCTGATCGTCCCATTACGAACTCTAAATTTAACTGTCGTTTCATTGACAGCAAAAACATCAATTAGTGATGACTTACCACCAAACCTCCAATCTTGTTCACAATCATGTGGATCTTCCCCACATGTAGTGCTATTGTGTCGAGAAATTTCCCTATGAGAAAATCTTCCCAAAGTGGCTTTGCTCCTTCAAAAACCCCCTTTAGCACTACCACTCTCTGTTGCCCATCCACCTCCGAAATCACAAACTCTTGCTTTGTGAACAAATGTTTTTGAGCTACTTTTACCCATGACTTAACTGGAGCAGAGCTCACTTGCTGTGATGTTGAAACCGCAGGGAATGATCCCGAGGTGTTTTTTGAAACTACTTCCATCTCCTCATCTACTCGTGTTTGATTCAGACTTTCCGAAACCCTCGACTCCTCCCTTTGAAAATTCTCATCCAAACTTTGTTCCGTTCTGGTAACCTCGACCGATCCAGAGATGAGCCCTTCATCCGGCGAGGAGCCTTTCTCCTCCCTTGGCGGAGAAACCGCCTGCGGCGACATCGAAAACTTGACCGTGAAGTAAGAAACCCTAATCGCCCTCCACGTTAGCAGCTAATATAAAATGATTCCACACCGTTGTTCAGAAACTTGGTAAATCCTAGTGAGAAAGACACATATGCTCATGCTTCTTGGACAAATTATGTTATTGTCATTGCTTGTTTCAAAGTCTAGGCCAGCTTATTTTTATATATGTGCTCTTAGACTTAGATTCAACAGCTTAAGTTATTTAAATGGAGAAAGATATTCACCTCAAACCATCTATACTAGTTTTAGAAGCTCTTTTGATATAAGCTCATTGTCTCAATCACCTAAGTCCTTTTATGCTCATTTCCTCTCTCTTTTTTTCACAATTTACAAATAAATACAATCAAGCCTATAAGAATACCAATACACAATTGAAACTCCACTCATTGAAAAAACCTTGATTTGATCCAATCTAGGTGCTAACTATCTCGATCTTCCTCTTCGTTGTAGTTGAATGGTAATGGAACTGATTTGAATGCTCTAAACTTTCCCACGTTGTTCAAATGCTCGTTCTCTAACCTGTGTTCATAACCCAACGAAGCAAGAACCGTTAAGTAAAAATAATTTTGAGGAGTACAATAAGTGATAGTTTCTTGGTTAAGAAGTTACCTGAAGAAATTCCAGATACCGCGACGTATGATCTCAAGAATGGCAATAAGAGCAATCATTGTTTCTCTATGTAAGAACGAAATATTGAAATCCAGCACAGTCTGCAACCACGCCATCCTCAACACAACGTTTAAAACCTATACGAAGACAGAATCAAAATTATAAAGAAATCATAAATTAGGGATTATATACTGTTCTATCAATTTTCCTAGTTCTCACCATTGCAACGTAGTAGACGGATTTGTGAGGAACAAGAAGCTTCTCTCTCAACCAAGATTTAGATGGTCTATGAAGCAATCCCCAGTCATAAACAATGTCCCAATATGTACCGTAAAATGTTGCTAACCCCGAGAAAACCCAGGCAGCTATTTTCCAGTTGTTTCCTCTGTTAATGCTAAAAGCTGTTCTCAAGCACACCGCGACAATGGTCAATAAATACTTGAGAGCATTGAAGCCTTGGCTTAAATCTTTCTCTTCGATTAATCTTCGAGCACATTGAAGGAAACGTGACCAGTAAGGTATCCCAGCGACGATAAAGTAGAATGTGCTGTATACATCACTTGATTTGCAAGTGCTTTGCCTCTTCTTGAAGTCTCCCCAACCATAGTAACAGATGTAAAACTCCAGACTCCTCAGTGCTTGAACCTGAAAAAGATGGTTGAGAAATGAGTTGAAACATTTTGAAAACATAATCATGAAAGTGAGAAGAATTTTATGATAAGAGTAACACACAAACCTGGCTTGTTAATTGGTCTGCTAGAAAAAAATCTGCAAGATTGACCTGCAATATTGATGATAACAAATTGAGAGATTTACGGATGATTTCACTTAGCGAAAGCAGAGGATGTGCTTGAGTAAAATACCTTGTAGAACGGCGCAGCAATGCACCGGAATAGAACCATGAGGAAGAAGAAGCGGCTTGACCGATAAAATATGTTGAAGGGACAGACAGAAATAGCTATCACTACCTGAAAAACATTGTGTTACTACATTAATATATAATAGAATGATTTGAGAATCTTGTGGCTGTAATGATGAACAACTTACCGCGACAACAAAAAGGGGAACAAGTTCAGTGATGGTCTTGTAATTATTAGTATTAGGATCCATCTCCATGTCCAGGTTCACTAGCACAGCGCAGAGAGCAAGCGTGCCGAGGCCAAAGCTTAGAAGAAGAACATGTCCATAACCAAGTTCTGTTCCTTCTTTGAATTCAAATATAAACGGGTAATTCACTCGATATCGCTTCCAAAAGTATATGTTTGAAGCATACATGATCATGTGTAGAACCACAAATGCAAATAAACTGAAAAAATACGGTTTAAGAAATATTCTTGTCAGCAAGAAAACAGTGGTTCAGCTTAGAGAGTATCTATATATGTTATGGTTTGAACCTGTATAGAGGAAACATTGTCTCCATGTATAGTTTATGTCCGGCTGCGCCCATTATATTACGAGCATGGATGAACAAGCCAAGAGCAATCACTAGAGAGACCGTGCAACCGACGAAAAAGCCTGAGAAAGAAGAACACAGTGTAGGGATTTTTACTTATTAATCATGAACTAATGTTAAAAGATCGATTTCGATTAGGGGATGTAATTTTTAGTTACCAGTGGAAAACGTTATTCGATGTTTTTCTTTCATCACTTTTGGTCTTAAGAGATTCATTCCTTTGCTTCGATTCGAACTGGCGAAATGCTCAACGAATATAGACTCAACTCTCAACATAAGCTTGTTGATCTGTTAAAAGGTAATCAAACGTCCGATTTTAAGTTTGTATTTTTATTGAAACAAATTAATAAATTTTGTGTAATGATATTGTGTTAACCTCATCAGAGCTAGTGAGGTAGGATTTATCTACCATCTCTATATATAATTTTGCTGCACTTCTTGAAGCAATCTAATTGAGAATATTCATAGCAAAAACATATTAATTAGTCTCAAGAAACTATATATATGATTAAATCAAGTGTTACCTTATCATACTTCTTCATGATCTTGGAAATGGCTAAAGTGTTCAAGAAGCTGAATTAATCAAGAACAGAGCATACGTTAAATCAAACAATCCTTTTTAACTTGTTTTGGTAATCAAGAAACAACATACCTGTAATTCTTGAGATGTCGAAGCTTGCGATAAAACTCGATGAAGACATTCTTAAGCCGTTCTTCTATTTTCTTGAGATTTTCTCTTGTAAATTTTAGATCTTCCCTGTTAGAGAGCTTGAGGACGTTTCTAATTGTGGACAGAGGATTTTCTTGATGTTTGTTTAATCTGATACGATCAAGAACACTTAACGCCTCTGGTACAGTCTCTTTCGTTGAATCTCCACCGTTGGATACATTTTCCTCTAATTTGATTCCCATCTCTTCAGCTAATGTCTTCCCTTCTGAGTAAAACACACAAAAAGACACAACAAAGATTCAAGATTTGTGTCCTTTCAGACTAAACCATGTAACAAAACAATCTCTGAAAACTCACTCTGTTCCTTAGAATCCAAGGCATTGATATCGACTGATACTGTTTCAGAGCAGCTCCAAGAAGAAGAAGGTTGATCGAGTTTATATCTGAAAGCAATCAGAGCATCCATTTGTCTGTTCAAAACCACTGCCTCCTTCACCAATTCATCCACTTTAGACCGGTAAAAACGGTTTACCTTATCGAACTCGAGATCTAGGGTTTTAAAGAAAACAAGCTCTGACTCTCTCCCTACTTCAGCAACTTTCAAGATGGTAGTCTCGTATTTCTCAAACCCGTCATCCCCAGTCGTTGCGTGAACCAGAATATCATGGTTTTCGAGTTCCCGAGACGAGAAGGTGCGGCTGTACCGCTTTGTCAGGCCGCTGAAGTTGCGGCGACCAGATAGCTTGTGTTTCACGACACCTTGTCTCTCTGATCTTTTGTGTGAAGTTTGGATTTCTCGAAGAATGGTTTTGAGACAAGCATAATCAATGTAAGCTTGTTGCCATTCTGGTATCATTTGTGAAACATACTCTTTTCCAAACTTCATATTTGTTTTCTTCTTGAATTTCTCTGAAAAATTTCAAGAATCCAGATCCCATTTAAAGCCTATTTTTAATATATGTGGAAACAGCTTATAGATTTGCAAGTGGATTGAATTTGACGTGAGAAAATTCTAAAGAGTTGAAATAAAATTGAAAAAGACGTTTGGTGTGGTGGGCTTTTGGCTGGACATTTTTTTTTTTGTTGTTGTACAAATTGGTTGGACACATTATTTTACTGAAGAGGATATTTGTTCCAAGTGACGACGAAAAATAAATAATTGCTTAATAATCGCATGCACGAAAAGTATTCCTCTAAATTAATTGTAGAGTGGTTGGTCTGTATTATTATTATACCATCTAAATACATTTAATTAAATTCAAAAAAAAACGTATCGAAAGAAAAAGAACTGTTAGTAGTTAATGTTTCATTTATGCGATTTTTTCATCTAAATTCGATTCTAATAAATCGCGTTACTCAGTGTAAGAGAGATTAAGTTATGGATCGGATATTGTCATTCCAAATGATATTTAACAAAAAAGAAAGATAACAGATAGACAATACATAAACTGTTTTATCGATAATAGACTCTATCATAGTGAAGGATGCACTATTAACCTTAGATTATTTATTAGATAATGTATGGTTTAACGTAAAAAAATAAGTAGTTGAATACCATGCACTATTTATTTATGGTATTCACCTAATTATTTTTTATGGTGAGCCATACATTATTTACTGTTGACTATTTTTTTTTTATTCTACTATATATCGTCCTAGATTAAACACCATATCTAGTATAATAGTTTATAGGATTTAAAAGTAACCAATATGATACATAGTACCTAAATAACAAATATGAACAAATAAAATTCACAGATGACAAAAAAAAAAAAAAAAACAAATAAGGTTTCGGGAAAAATCTGAAGTTAGGTTCTGTTTTTCTCTTTTCTTTATTCAGGTTTCCTTGTTCTGAATCTTTCTTTCTCTTAGTTCTTGTTGTTCTTTATGTATACTTTTCTTTTTATTATTAATGAAAGCCTTTAACAAAAAAAAAAATATGTCTCCCACAATTATTTTTTACGGGGGATTTCTAGCACCCAAAAACATACCCTATTTATCTTAAACTTATGCCATATTTATATAATCATGTTCAGTCTTAAGAGTTGTAATTTAAAATCAATCGACTACGAGTCTTTTTAAATATGTATTTAATGTAGAATGTTTACAATAAAAATAAATGATAAAAAAAAGTTTCAACACGTAATGTGTCGGTGTATGGTCCAACCACTTTGTCATACCAAAAAAGACTAGCGAGTAGCGACACATACATATCATTCCAAATAATTATATCAGTGTATTTTCTGAAAGAATCAATCACACGAAAAATTTAATACAATATTAGATATATAAAGAGTATTGAGGATATTTTTAAAATAGGTAAAGACAATTTAAATGGTCTTCATAAAAATAGAACTGAACTAGAGAACAGCATATGAGATTACGATATATGTTGATTTTGTTTTTTATTCTCTTTTGATAGGTTTGTACATAAACGTACATGGCTGACTTATCCACGTACGCGTCAATATTTTTTTCATTATTTCTTGTTAAATCGAAGTTTCTTAGCACAATCGTCTAAGCTAACTACGACACACAATTGAATAAGGTGTACATTAATTTCATTGGTGAATTATTTGTTTACGTTTACAATTAAATTTGTCACATGTTGTTGACCCCAACAAAAAATGTCACACACCCCTTCTACCCAAAGCAATGACTGAAGAAGCAGGCGTACAAATAGAGAAGTGGACGGTTCGAGCAAATTACTTACATAGCAGAGTCAACTAGGGATCAAGAAGACGAGTGGCCTAGGCTAGTGACTTACTTAGCCTAAGGTCTTCCCAAGTGGAAGAGCCTACGTCATTATTTGTGTGAGAAGGGGTTTGCGTTCGCGCAGCAGCCCCTATCATTTATATCAGTCGTAATAATTATATGTTCCATAATAAGATAAGTTTGGTGTTGTTGTCTAAATAAATGTGGACAGTAACAGTTTCCTGCTTTATTATGTTAGTACCAATGGTCCCACATCAGAAATAGATACCAAGTTTGTAATGACGTATACTTTGTTATCCCACATCGGAAGAGTAATATCAGTTTGATATGTCATCAAATTAGATAATTTGCCGAAGATATCAAAAACAAAGATAAAGAATAAAACCAAAACAATCCATCGCTTTTCACCACATGTATTTGTTACTACATTAGAACAAAACTATCAATCATCAAGAACTTAAATTTTCAACGCTAACAAATCATCCCCCATAACTTGGATATGAAACTGAGGTGTGAGGCAGGAGTGACATCAGTAAATCGCAGAGCCATTAAGGTTAGGAGGCTTGGCTCTGGTGAATCTATCTCACTCATTGGAGAGACGTTTGGGATGAACCGGTCAACAGTATCCCAAATCACTTGGCCTTCAAAATTCGATGAAATAAAATCATTAGTTTAAAAAAGCTTGTGACAGCAAATAATGATCTACCCAATTTCCTCAATCGGTCTCAGACGGCGAGAGTTTCGTAATTTTTTGACTCCCTGTTATTTTAATTCTACAATTATATTATAATTTTTTTAATACAGTTAGACCACTTATAAAGTTATACGTGTTATATGGGTTTCTGATATCGTCTCTTCAACAAGAACTTTTATAAACCCTGTCTCTTCTCTCTCATAATTTTTTACTTATTTTTTGTTTTTGTTTTTTTTTTATTGTTAGTTACTTTGTTAAGAAACTCACGTTGGAGGTGCTCTTGGATGCTATAACGGTATATGCCTTTTGATCGCCTAAAGAAAAAGAATCCATAAGCCTTTTTTGTTATTATATTTGTCAAAGACGAGGTTAATCAATTAATGTTTTTAAACCCAAGTCGTAAAGGGATTAAAAAAAAACTAATCTTTTTCTCTAATTTAGAACTTCAAATTATTTCCTGTTCCTTGCCGACAAAAAAATATATTTATTTCCTTTTTTTTAAGAATGTAAAAAACGTTTTTCCTTTTCTTGTTCTCTTTATATATGCTTTCTACGACAAATAAGGTTAGATTGATTGGCTAGGTTTTCAGAGAACACTACAACGATTGCATCGTTACTTTTTTCAAGGAATTTGGATTTGATATCATTCTAGGGTTTCGTATTAAAGATTAAAGTTACGATCTACGGTTCTTCTCTCAGTTTTTTTTTTTTTGTTTTTAGATTCTTGTCTCACTGTAACTCGAGACCTCCTCAATGAATTCTTCAGACATCTCGATCATCTCGGAAAAGATGGAATCTATGTCAGTGAGTCACCATGTTACGCGTCACAACAAGAAATTACAAAAGTCTAGATATTCTCCTTACAGTAAAGAGACTAACATTACCATTGAGAAGGAGATGCAGAAAGATGAGGCTATACGACTCGGGGTTGAGTTCTCGCTCTTTGTGGCTCAAGCAATGGTCTTATTATCTGATGACATACGTTCTATGTTACTGTTCTGTCTTTGGTTACTGAAGGATGCAGGGAAAGGTATTACCGCTCCCGTGATAGGAAGGCTGATTTTTGTTATGATATATGTGTTTGAAACATATATCAAACCCAAGAATGGAGTCTATCAGGCTGGTGGCAAATCGAACCAATGGGAACTTTTCGTAAAGTCTAGCACAAATTTTGTTTTTGGAATCAGAGAATTGGATCGCATTGTTTTGATTCTTCGGAAGAGACAAAGCTCTTTTGGTGAGTTAGTGAAAACATCGGATTTTGAACACTACAACCAAGAGTTGAAGAAGCTAGAGGAGACGTTGAGGTCTGCCAAAAATGTTTCAGAGGCGTATGGATTTTCGAGAGAAGCGATAAAGTCTAACATTCTTTATTTGTGGAAGCCTCTCTTTGAAACCTCACCACCTAAGGTGAAAGTGATCAACCCTAAAAATAGAATTCTTGAGATGTTTAAGCCTCTCTTGATCCAAGCCAGGGAGGATGCTTGCTCTCGTCTTATTGCTTCTTTACACATATGAATCAAAGTTTCTTAGATTTTGATGAAATTCATTTATGTATTGACTGTTGTTGCATATTGGAGTTTGGCTTTTATATATGCAGCTTATATATTTTTATAGGTTTCAAAATTTTCTGTTACATCACGTAAGTGTAAGACAAATATCATGAGTAGCATTGGGGATTAAAAATCATGTGTGAGTGTAAACACGTTTACATGTTTCTTGGCATGCAAGTAACAATTTAAGTGTAATTTTCTTGTTCCTTGGCTTACAAGATTCGCACCTATAAGATATGTGCATTCGCACCTATAAGATATGTGCGTCGAGGTAAGTATCAGCATCTATGGATGCCTCTGATCACCATCAACTTCTCCAAATTTTGCAGGTCTCCTCGTTGATTAACGACGATGTGTATGCATATTTGGATGCTTTTCAGCATCTATGTATGCATATCGTAACGTTACCCTCTAACAATATTTGGTGCAGATCCTTAGATGAACGAAACTCTCTAAAAATGTCTCAGATTTTGATAGGTTTGGTCTCCGGGTAAAAATGAAAGTTGACGATTTTGTCACATTGTTTTAGAAGTCTTATAGAAGAAGGAAAAGAGACACAAACTTATATGGATTCTTTTGTATTTTGGTAGACTAATTTTGTATGTATAACTAGAAATTAACCCGCGGTACACCGCGGGCCTATATTTTATATAAAATCATTTATTAAATTATGAATTATATTTTTCTTTTAATATTTGAGTTGGGTTATTTTAATTAATTGTATATGTAGATATAGATTTGTATATATATATATATATATATATATATATATATATATATATATATATATATATATATATATATATATCTTTAAATTGTAGGATTAGGCAATTGTAATTTTATTGTTGTCTTTGTATATATATATAAGAAATGTATAAGTTACTGAATCAGTTATAGTAATTTGTTTGTAATATTTTGAATTTATAATATGGTTAACATAATATATGTTTGGTTTTTGTAAATATAGATTAAACTAAGTTAAATTCAATAATTAAATGTGTATATTTGTGTATATATTATAAATTAAATAGATATTACATATGAATGTAAATATGAAACATAAAAATAAAATGTGTATGTGAAACTATGTATATCAAAATTGCACACAATTATGTAGATGAAAGTGGATAAAATAGTAAATTAAAAATATGTAGATGAAACCATCAAAATCCTATGTTATTATAAGTAGAAAAAAAAACTTAAGCCAGAAATCTCAGTTTCACAATAATCTATATACTTGCTGAAGAGTGTAATGGGGCTTCCTCTTCTCGTTCATAGCTTTTGTTAGCTTCTGCAACCCAAATAAAAATACATCAAGAATCAGAAACCAAATTCTAATTCAACTTGGCTTTAATCATCAAAATAATACATCACACAAATCTTTTCATAAAACTCAAAGATGAGAAAACACACCTAGAGTACACGGGATGAAACATGTGCAACTGGAATCTTCCCCTTCATCTTTTTTATAGATTCAAATTAATATATTGAAGTAATTGATCTCATTATCACTTAATGAGCTTACAGTTAAAGAAACCCTAAAAACAGAGAGATGAAACATACCAATATACCAATCGAAGTGAAGAAGATCAGCTCGGTGCAAACTATGTTGCAACTGATACAAACCGGATAAAAACCGACCATCCATCAGTTCGATTTTGTATAATTTCGGTTTAAGATTTTAATTGAGTTCTTGTCTCGCCGAGACGTAGAGAATTGGTTTTTGTCCATCAAATCGTCAATGAGAAGTTTTGCCGAATCTGAAACAGCAAATATTCAAAATCCAAACAAAAAAAAAAACTTTAATTGGAAAATTCATCCGTTGAATGCATCAGCTTAAAAACTTGGTTAACAAAGATGTTCCAACATCAAACTCTCAACCAAGTCAGAAATTTTGAATGGTCTTTCCAGAATAGTAAAGATTCTTTGGTTGAATCCATTTCCCCCAAGGCTGTTTCAATAGCTTCCTCACCTGTCACCTAAAATAAAAGATTGTAAATCTTACAAAATCAATCGGCTATCATCTATAAAAACTAATAAGAGAAAAACAATATTCTAACCAACTGGTCTTCCTTGAGGTAAACGACCATCTTGGTTCCTCTACCAAGAGCCTCCCCAGAGGTGTCTATGGTCACGATTAAAGACCCACCGGCCTGAGACTCCCACACATACTGCTCATCGTCAATTGGTCATTGTGCTTGGTAGTAACAACAACCTTGTTAGCAACCAAGTAAGCAGAGTAGAAACCAACACAAAACTGACCAATCACGCTAACATCAGCGCCAGCAGCGAATGCCTCCATGAATTCCTTGGTTCGTGACCTTGCAATTGTTCCAAGGTTGTTCACCAAATCTAAACAACAGAACAGAAACGCATTAGCCAACACATAGATGCAAGATTAATAAACAAAAAACCAATACAAATTGTTTTAACTAAAATCAATTACGTACCAGCCTTAGTCATCCCAATCCCACTATCGATAATGGTTAAGGTGTTATTAGTCTTATCGGGAATGATATGAATGAATAGCTCAGGCTGACCATCGAGCTTGCTCTTGTCCGTCAACGACTCAAACCTAATGTTGTCCAAAGCCTGTTCCACCAGAATAAAACAGCTTCACAAAGTCGAATCACAATAGATTTCACTCACCAATTACTCTAGACATGGCAAGAACTCCAAGAACCCTAGCTCCATGTTCATTGTAGCTTTGTTGACTTCAAGGAAAAGTTAAAAAAAAAATTTGCATTAGACATAACAAATTCAATCATTAGTCAATACCAAAAGAATATTTGTATGGAACACAAAACAGAAAATATGAAAGTTTTTATAACAAAATAGAAGAAACAAAAACTTTGCTAGTACTATTTCTATTGAATTCACCAAAAAAAAAAAAAAACTATCGTTTTCAAAATCGTATAATCTTGACTTTTATTTCTACATGTTCGGTGTTTATTTCTACATGGCATCAAAGAAGTGTTTATCTTGTTTGGTGAGATTAGAGAAAGCGACTTAGATGTATTTATAGTATTCTCAGAAAATTGTAGGGTTTTCTTTTAGTGAGTAGAAAACATCTTGCTAAGCAAGTACAATATCTTCATAATATAATATATTTGGAATTTATTTAGGAAAAAATATAAATTAACTATGGAATATGCTAGTAATATGCTAAAGATTACCATCTTTGTAGGAAAGAAATCGATCACATTTATGTTTATTGTTATCATTCAAATTTTATTTTACTTTAGGCAATAAATCTTTAATGCCATAACTAAAAAACGTTAGAACAAATAAATTTTTTTATTAGCATTAAATTAAAAACGTGTATCAAATTAATTTATTGTTAGCATTCAATATTGATTTGTTAGAACAATATATCAATTTATTGAGTTCTTTTTACTTATGGCATTAGAAATTAATTACGTTTTTTTTCTAGCATTTAAATAGGAAACTATTTGATTTGAAAATATTTGTTTGTTATAACTACATATACGAATTGTTAGAGTCATATTGACGAATTTGAAAGATTGTATAGGAGAATTTAAAGAAACAATAGATGAGATAAGATATGTGATATTTATTAGTTTAGATTGTGAATATATTTGAAATCAATTAGAGAATAAAGTTATTAAGTTACGATTAATGTGGTAATTAGATTAGGTAATAATAACAAACTGAATTCTGCGAGTTATTATTGGCCAAATATATTTATTACAACATTCCTAAAAATCCTTATCCAAGATCCGGATAGAGTTAAACCCGGATAAAACCCGGATCCAAATGAATTAATGTAAAAATGTATATGTAGATTGATGCAGCAGCATCGTGATAGCTTTGGCGATAAACCAAACGTAGCCGTTTGGTTACTTTCTTTATCGTCTTTTTCCTTTTAAGTGTTTTGGCTAATTTCCTTTTTCTTGTTGCTTAAGAAAGACTTCTTAGGGTGTTTAAGTCTTTTAATTTACTTCTCCTACGTCGGTTGTGACCTAGGTTTAGAAGCTATATATCAAACCCAAGAATGGAGTCTATGTGGCAAATTGAAACAATGGGAACTTATCGTAAACTCTAGCCAGAATTTTGTTTTTGGAATCAGAGAAATGGATCGCATTGTTTTGATTCTAAGGAAGAAAGAAAGCTCTTTCGGTGATGTAGTGAAACCGTCTGATTTTGAACACTATAACCAAGAGCTGAAGAAGCTAGAGGAGACGTTTCGGTCTGCCAAAGATGTTTCAGAGGCGAAAGGATTTAAGAGAGCAGCAATATATAAAGTTGTACATTCTTTATTTGTGGAAGTCTGTCTTTGAAACATCAGCAACCGAGTTGATAAAAGCTAAGAATAGAATTCTTGATATGTTTAGGCCTCTCTTGAACCAAAGAAGGGAGATTGCTTGCTCTCGTCTTATTGCTTCTTTACACATATGAATCAGAGATTCTTAATTTGGATTATTTTTGTTTATGTATTGACTGTTACTGCTTATTTGGTATTCGGCTTTATTCAAATTATATTTGTGTTTTCTTAACAAAACATATATATTTTATAGGTTTCAATACTTTTTTGTAAACCAAGAAAATGTTAGACAGAACTCATGAGTAGATTTCTACTTAAGAAGCATCATTAAGTATGGTGAAGTGTATATATCAAAATACAGTTCACATGCTGTCAATTTTGGATTTGTACATCTTTTGTTGTTATAAACTCCTCAACACGTAAGATCATGGGCAAGGACGGGAATGTAAACATATTTTAATTGAACCCAATTTCGAGTTTCTCTTATATGTTTTTGGCATGTAAGTTATTGATAATATTGAAAACTAGAAAGCTGCCCACGCGATGCGTGGGTTATATATTTAATATTAATTCTGGATAATAATGAAATTTGTATTAAAGTAATACGTTCGATTAATTTTTTAAAATATTAACTTTTATGTTCCTTTTCGAAGTACTTTTGTGAATTGCTAAAAAATAAATTCTGTTCTTTTTTTATTCAAGATGGTATGACATAAATATATACCACTACTTGATCTTCATTTACATAAAATATTTTATTGTGGAAATACATATATCATACCTCATCGTAGAGTCTCTTGTTTGCTGCTTCATGATTCTTGGATCGGAAAAACGGTCAAAATCAACTCCAACTATTTCTATGCGGTTTTTTTCATCCCAAACTCTGACCCCCGGAACTAATCAACCCGAACTCATACAATTTTTAAAAAACAAACCAAAACTATCTAACCGTTATCCAATTTCAACACAGTTTTTTTTTGTATTTGTTAATGTCGATTAGAATTGTTAAGTCGTAATTATATGTTCTTTTGTATCTGAATCATTCCTTTTATTCAATTGGCTAAAGGTTAAATAATTCAGGTTTGTTACATTATTTAATAACAGGTATATGTTAAAATTGGCTAACGATTATATAGTTTAGGTTTGTTATTTGACATGTATGTGGTTTCGAGTTGATAATTGGGGTTGATATTGGCCGTTTTCCCTCGTTGGATCTCATCAGAAGGTAGATCTTCCCGATCTCATGACTTTCCCTCGACAATAAGGTTTAGATATTATATCCATATAATCCATAATAAAATTAGGAGATCAAAGATAAAACATATTCATATTTATTATTTTTTTGCTAAATTTTATCTATATATGTTAAAAATTTAAGAAAAATTTAAATAATTTGTGATAATGATTAAATTTAATAAAATAGCAAGGTGGTCTAAATGAGCAGAAACATATTTTATACATGTTAATCTGGGTTTTTCAAATCTCTCTCTCGCTTCCGACTCAGCACAGCTAGTCAAAGCTTTGAAATCGGAGCTTCAACACAAGGAGCTTCATGGGATTCTCTTCGATATCCTGAATTTATCTTCTACCTTTGATGTTATTTCGTTTAGTTTCATTCCCCGTTTGCAGAACTCAGATGCCGATTCATTGGCAAAACAGTCTCTGGTTTCTCTTGTAATGGGCCTAGCCCTAACCTAAATTAAATTGAATCAGCCTTTGCGCAAAAAACAAATATATATGTTACACTTAATTATAATCATATTTAATTTAGGAAAATGACTTCAGATGATATAATAAAAATTTTATTTTTGAAAGTTTATATTAAAAAATTTTAGTTCAGTTTTAATATAAATTATATATATATATATATATAAATTCAATTTTTTGAAAACAAAATAAATATGCCATTTATAAAATTTGTATATATATATATGAGAAAATTAGCATTGGTACCACATTTTGCCAAAAAGTTATTACTTCTACCACATTTGAATCCCAATTATCATTCATACCACATTGTGTTTGTAAAATGACCATTTTACTCTTTAACTGGTGAGATAAGGAACTGTGGTTGATGTGACCTTCCGAAATTTCTGCCGTCCTTTTTCTCTCTCCTAGCGTATTGGTAACCGTTTTCGTCCCTCTGGCTGGTAAAACAAAGTTGTCCACGAGTAAATCCAGATCTTCGTCTTCGGCTCTCTGACACAATTAGATCTCTTGATTGTCCATCGCCAGATGATATGGTTTTACCAGCCATAGATCTGGATTTACTCGGGGACAACATCTCTTAATTATCCATCACCAGATGATGTGTTTTTACCAGCCAGATATCTGTATTAACTCGGAGACAACTTGATCTTTATTTTATTCTGTCAGAGAGCCGAAGACGAAGATCTGGATTCACTCGGGGACAACTTTGTTTTACCAGCTAGAGGGACAAAAACGGTTACCAATGCGCCAGGAGAGAGAAAAAGGACGGCAGAAATTTCGGAAGGTCACATCAACCGGCGTCTACTGTAGCTCCTTCCCCTGATACATTCCTGACGCATACAGAAGGGTAAAATCGTCCAAGCTCTACCACACAAACACACACAAGTGGTATGGATGCTAAATCGATTTGCAATGTGGTACATTTGCTAGGATTTTCAAAAATTGTGGCACATTTGCCAAAAATCCCTATATATATAGGTCATAAGAGTACAAAATTTAATAAATATAATGTAATGCCGTTTATCTAAATACTTTAATGGCATGTTAGGTTTTAAGTGAATTAGTCAATTATTGATATTCTATGCAAATGCCCTTAGTAAACATAATTCTTTTCAAAAATTCCATGAGGATAGATTAAAAAAAAAACCTTTGGTGGAACTTTTTAAATTTTTTTGGGTAAATTTCATTGGGTTGGTTTATATGGAAACTTTGATAAAAATAAATACAAATTTTATATTCTTTCATATGATCTTTATTTCTTACTTAATTTGTATGATAAACTAAAAAAAATTGAATTCAAAACATAATCAAGTCAAATGATATACAATATTAAAAATAAAAAAAAAAACTATTTACTCGAGATATATGAAACTCAAACGTCTATCCCTCTCAAACGTTGAGTAATTATGTAAAAGAAATAAAGAATGGCATAAACTATCTGATTTTTTTTTTACTCATGATCCCATGAGTTTTACGTATTCAAGAACAAAATCATCTTGAAACAGCTTCACATATTCATAAATTTGAAAACAAACTCTTAACTTTTTGATAAGTGATGTTGAGAATAATTACATAAATGGTTTTTCAATTTATATCATAAATTTTTTTAACAAACTTATGGTTTTCAAATTAATGAATACATATAGATCATAAGAGTGAAAAACTTTAATAAATATCATGTCATTTATCTAAATACTTAAATTTATAATTACACTTTAACTGACCATAATAATAGATATAAATGTTTTCAATGTATGAATACAAATCTTATTGGTGAGTTGAAAAATAGAGAAACAATTAAAAATAGAACACTAATTTTATGTAGAACTAATGGTGTTGGTGAACCTAACTTGAACACCATATGAAATCACAAACCTAACTTGAACACCAAATGAGAAAACTTTTGTAGATATTTTTACTATATGGACGATAGCCTGAAATAAAGAGAAAGCAACTAAAAGTCAATAAAAAAATAAAAGAACGGACTGGAAAAAGCAAAAACTCTACAATAGTTTTTTTTAGCTTCACATGTAGGTAATATATAGAAGTAGACTTAGCGTACATGTTTGTGAATTAATTGGATTTAATGTTTTGAATTAATTAGAGTTATTGTGGTTATCTGTTAGCCTAATCACTAATGCATCAATTTAGAGTTATTTGTTTTAATAAGTTCATTTGTGGGTTTTACTTTGGGTAACTAATTCTAGAACAAAAAAAAAAACAC